CTCTCCTAAGTGGGATCTACCTTCGAGTTCTCGCGGATGTTCACGAGGGAAGCGTACAGACCCTGGAAGGGGACACGTTAGGGTCAGGCAGTGTTTTGAACAATAACGAAATAAACTAATTTTTGGAGGTGGAAGAGAATTGAAAGAGAGGCCCACTTCCATCCCATTTAAACTAGCAAAGTCAGCAGTACAAAGAACTTTGCCATGGATGTTGCTAAAAATCAAAGCTGTATCTTCTCTTATTATGTCATAGTCCATGGGCAATGATAAGGCTGTGCGAGGCTTTCTGAAATGGGATTAGAGAAAACCCAAATAATCTCTTTAAGATAAAACGTACTGAGACTCTCAGTAATAAAGAGAAATTAAACCAGGAGCTTAGCGTGTTCCAGGCTAATTGCAGGAGTAAACTTGCAGAATCCAGCAAATCGCTGGAAAGAATGGGGACGGTGCTGGTCAGTTTTGAGGTAGGAGGGGCCCCCGCGGAAATGATGATGCGTTCACGTGGGGTGCTGCCAGGCCAGGCCACGTTTCTGTGAACGAGAATGTCAGCACTGTTTGCACCTAGGCTTTTCCAGTTCTGTGGGCGGGGCGGAGGGACAAGCGACCTGTCCATCCTTCGTCGTTGCCTGGCGTGTGCCGAGAACGGCGGCATCCGTGACCTCATCCTGCATGGTCTCTGCGGAAACTTACCAGATGTGGGACAGGCAGGGAGCAGGCTGTGCCCTAACCAGGTGGGACAGGCCTGGAGCAGGCTGTGCCCTAACCAGGTGGGACAGGCCTGGAGCAGGCTGTGCCCTCAGGCAGGGAGCAGGCTGTGCCCTAACCAGGTGGGACAGGCAGGGAGCAGGTTGTGCCCTAACCAGGTGGGATAGGCCTAGAGTAGGCTGTGCCCTAACCAGGTGGGACAGGCAGGGAGCAGGCTGTGCCCTAACCAGGTGGGACAGGCAGGGAGCAGGCTGTGCCCTAACCAGGTGGGACAGGCAGGGAGCAGGCTGTGCCCTAACCAGGTGGGACAGGCAGGGAGCAGGCTGTGCCCTAACCAGGTGGGACAGGCAGGGAGCAGGCTGTGCCCTAACCAGGTGGGACAGGCAGGGAGCAGGCTGTGCCCTAACCAGGTGGGACAGGCAGGGAGCAGGCTGTGCCCTAACCAGGTGGGACAGGCAGGGAGCAGGTTGTGCCCTAACCAGGTGGGACAGGCCTGGAGCAGGCTGTGCCCTAATCAGGTGGGACAGGCCTGGGGGGAGCTCTGCGGTAACCAGGTAACCAGGTGGGACAGGCCTGGGGCGAGCTCTGTGGTAACCAGGTGGGACAGGCCTGGAGTGGGCTCTGCGGTAACCAGGTGGGACAGGCCTGGAGCAGGCTATACCCTAATCAGGCAAGCGTGTCACCGTTCTCCCCACGGAGAACACCCCGAGTCATCTGAAGCGATACTTCCCGAAGCAAACTCGGTGAGGACCACCAGGAGGGCGTGCACGCCGTGGCGAGTCCCACAGGCACCCACGTTTAATCGCCCCTGGAAACACTGGTTGTGAGATGTTGGGAGGAGCCGGGAAACAGAAAGCACCCCCATCAGAAAACAGACGGGCAGGGCGCCCACGTCCCAGGTTGCTGCAGCGGATTTAGACCGCTATTTTAAGGCCACTTCCCTGGAAATGCGGCCTGAAATATGACCAAAGGTTCCACGGGGTGCATTAGTGTGAATTGCAAATCAGAGAGTCCTTTAATCCTCTTTCAAGGCTGGGCTTTGGATCGCTGGCGTCGACGGGCTCCCCACTGATTCTGGCGCAGGAGGGACCATTCAAGGGGGCAGCTTCTCTCCTCTATTCCCACACTCCAAAAACAACGCCGCAGACGGACACCCTCCAACTAAATTAGATTACAGTCCTCTTCCGTAGCTAGCCTTTTACTGCCGGGCCTGCGAGCTCCTCGTTTAAAGATACAGTATTGCCTTTTCATCTCAGCAACCTCCACAACAACAGCAAGCAGTATTTTGTGAAACAGGGACAAAGCCGGCCTCTGTGTGCTCCCCAGCGTCGGGGACGTTCTCGGGGGTTCTCCGAGGCAAATCCAGGACATGTCCGTCCCTGCCCTGATGGGCTTCACCTGGGCAGAGCCAGCCCCGCGTAGGGCGTGGAACCTGCGTTTGTGTGTCAGCCTGGTTTTTGAAGAATGATGCGAAAAACAAAAGCCACGGGATTCCAGGAAAATGAAAGGGTGCACGGGCTGGCGAGTGTGCGAGCGTCCCTGCTCTGCGTCTGTGTCGCAGACAGCCGGGGCGGAGAGCCACAGGGACCGCGTTCGGGTCACGCCTGCACTTGGTCTGGGCTCCCCTGCAGGCTCCCCGGCACTGGGGACGGGCCGACTTCCTCACTGTCCTTGCCCAGGAGGCCTCCTCCGGGAGCTGGGCTGCTCAGGGAACTGCGCTTCAGGACGGAGCGGCCCGGGCCTGGCCCTGCCTGGCATAGAGCAGAGCCCCGGCTCCTGCTTTCCCCTGCTGGCCTCAGCCCGGGGTGGGCTTGCTCAGCCTCCCGCGTCCACGGCGGTGAGCGGGTGGGGTCTGGGCTCTGCTTCCTGGTGTGACCACGGCAGCCACATGACGGGGGTGAGCTCCTTGCTTCTGCCTCACAGGCCGCGTGGGATCGGGGGCGATGGCCAGGCCGAGCATGTAGTGCGTGCTCAGTTAACGTGGCTGCTGCCGTGAGAGGTGAGTAGAAGCAGGGGCGCGGCGGCGAGAGGTGAGTAGAAGCAGGGGCGCTGCCGTGAGAGGTGAGTAGAAGCAGGGGCGCGGCGGCGAGAGGTGAGTAGAAGCAGGGGCGCTGCCGTGAGAGGTGAGTAGAAGCAGGGGCGCGGCGGCGAGAGGTGAGTAGAAGCAGGGGCGCTGCCGTGAGAGGTGAGTAGAAGCAGGGGCGCGGCCGTGAGAGGCGAGTAGAAGCAGGGGCGCGGCCGTGAGAGGCGAGTAGAAGCAGGGGCGCGGCCGTGAGAGGCGAGTAGAAGCAGGGGCGCGGCCGTGAGAGGCGAGTAGAAGCAGGGGCGCGGCCGTGAGAGGCGAGTAGAAGCAGGGGCGCGGCCGTGAGAGGCGAGTAGAAGCAGGGGCGCGGCCGTGAGAGGCGAGTAGAAGCAGGGGCGCGGCCGTGAGAGGCGAGTAGAAGCAGGGGCGCGGCCGTGAGAGGCGAGTAGAAGCAGGGGCGCGGCCGTGAGAGGCGAGTAGAAGCAGGGGCGCGGCCGTGAGAGGCGAGTAGAAGCAGGGGCGCGGCCGTGAGAGGCGAGTAGAAGCAGGGGCGCGGCCGTGAGAGGCGAGTAGAAGCAGGGGCGCGGCCGTGAGAGGCGAGTAGAAGCAGGGGCGCGGCCGTGAGAGGCGAGTAGAAGCAGGGGCGCGGCCGTGAGAGGCGAGTAGAAGCAGGGGCGCGGCCGTGAGAGGCGAGTAGAAGCAGGGGCGCGGCCGTGAGAGGCGAGTAGAAGCAGGGGCGCGGCCGTGAGAGGCGAGTAGAAGCAGGGGCGCGGCCGTGAGAGGCGAGTAGAAGCAGGGGCGCGGCCGTGAGAGGCGAGTAGAAGCAGGGGCGCGGCCGTGAGAGGCGAGTAGAAGCAGGGGCGCGGCCGTGAGAGGCGAGTAGAAGCAGGGGCGCGGCCGTGAGAGGCGAGTAGAAGCAGGGGCGCGGCCGTGAGAGGCGAGTAGAAGCAGGGGCGCGGCCGTGAGAGGCGAGTAGAAGCAGGGGCGCGGCCGTGAGAGGCGAGTAGAAGCAGGGGCGCGGCCGTGAGAGGCGAGTAGAAGCAGGGGCGCGGCCGTGAGAGGCGAGTAGAAGCAGGGGCGCGGCCGTGAGAGGCGAGTAGAAGCAGGGGCGCGGCCGTGAGAGGCGAGTAGAAGCAGGGGCGCGGCCGTGAGAGGCGAGTAGAAGCAGGGGCGCGGCCGTGAGAGGCGAGTAGAAGCAGGGGCGCGGCCGTGAGAGGCGAGTAGAAGCAGGGGCGCGGCCGTGAGAGGCGAGTAGAAGCAGGGGCGCGGCCGTGAGAGGCGAGTAGAAGCAGGGGCGCGGCCGTGAGAGGCGAGTAGAAGCAGGGGCGCGGCCGTGAGAGGCGAGTAGAAGCAGGGGCGCGGCCGTGAGAGGCGAGTAGAAGCAGGGGCGCGGCCGTGAGAGGCGAGTAGAAGCAGGGGCGCGGCCGTGAGAGGCGAGTAGAAGCAGGGGCGCGGCCGTGAGAGGCGAGTAGAAGCAGGGGCGCGGCCGTGAGAGGCGAGTAGAAGCAGGGGCGCGGCCGTGAGAGGCGAGTAGAAGCAGGGGCGCGGCCGTGAGAGGCGAGTAGAAGCAGGGGCGCGGCCGTGAGAGGCGAGTAGAAGCAGGGGCGCGGCCGTGAGAGGCGAGTAGAAGCAGGGGCGCGGCCGTGAGAGGCGAGTAGAAGCAGGGGCGCGGCCGTGAGAGGCGAGTAGAAGCAGGGGCGCGGCCGTGAGAGGCGAGTAGAAGCAGGGGCGCGGCCGTGAGAGGCGAGTAGAAGCAGGGGCGCGGCCGTGAGAGGCGAGTAGATGCAGGGGCGCGGCGGCCGTGAGAGGTGCACTGTCACAAGCCACGGCTCCTGCGATGAGCACACCGAGTCGAAGCTGGCCGGGCGGTTGATGGTGCCAGGGGGCAGGCCAGCCCTCACTGTGCCGCCACTCACGGTGCCCAGGAAGCAGGCCCGGCGGAGACCCGCTTCAGAGGGGAAGGGGCTGCAGGGCTTGAAGCTGGTGTGTCAGGCCCAGCCGCGTCGCGGCGCGTGCCCAGGGCTGTGCGGTGGAGCCTGGACTTGCAGAGCGTCAGGCAGCGGCAGCAGGGCCCAGCCATGCCTGATGCCTCGCCGTCCTGGCCTGGGGATGGCCCCTCCAGTCTGAAGGGATCCTTTCAAGCCTAAATGTGGAGGAGCAGGTGGAGGCACTGAATGTGTTGGGTAACCTCGTCCTTTGCTGTGCGGCTTCCGGTGAGTCGATGAACCTCTCTGAGCTGCTTTCTGTTCCCTGTGCTGTAGGAAGAGGGCAATGGCACCTGATGGACAGCGCTCGAGACAGGGGTTGGGACCCGTCGTATGGAGGCCGAGAGCCCTGCCTGGCCTTTCCGCGGGCTACATGGGGTTGTCCGGTTTGCAGACTGGTCAGCCAGCCCTCGCCGTTGAACTTTGCGTGTGTCTGCTGGCCGGAAGGTGGGTGGCTCACCACAGTGTCACACACAGGTCTCTTCCTGGTTAGCTGCTGACTCCCAGTGTCCTCTGTCCTCAAATTTAACCGCGACTAAACAGCTGACCACCCTCCGCGGTGGCCAGATGAAGCAGCGTGGTCAGCTCCTCCGTGGCCGCTGCTGTGGAAGGAGATGCCCCTAGCCTCTAGGAGGGGTCCCCTCCTCCGGCACAGACCGGAAACTCAGTTGGGACTCCTGGTGCCATTCGGGGACAGCGGGCACTTCGGCCTCACATTTACGACGGGAAAGGAGCCCTCGCACACAGTGGTCACTCTGCCTTCCAGGTTCCAAGGGTGAGGACAGGCTGCGCCCCTAAGAGGAGGACAGTGCCGCTGCCTGTCCGCCGCCCGCTGGCTCCCTGGGAGCCTGGCTCTGCCACCGCGCCTGTGGCAGACCCTCAGCCTCGTGGACGGACACGTGGCGGGCCTGCTGGTCCGCTGTCTCTGTCTCACTTTCTAGAGGTAATACAGGGACAGACAGGGAGGGCCAGCCGGAGGCTCGGTGGCCAGGCAGCTGGCTTCTGCATGAGCAACTGCAGTGCAGCTCCTGGACCCGGTGGCTTGAAAAACGTGCACGTGCCCAGAAGTCCCCAAACCAGGGAAAGACTGCGGTGTTACCGTCCCCCGCAGGGGGCTCGCGCGCTCTCTGGCGAGCACATGCACCCTGGAGCAACATCAAGAGGTGACCCTGGCGATGGCTAGGAGTCTGCAGGTAGAGAGCCCGTTTCCAGGTCTCTCAGACACACTAAGCCCTCCAGCTTCAGCCCTGAGAAACACGAGTGCCACCTGCCATGGCCTCACCGGCAGGGCTGTCCCCCGCCAGCGGCCTCACCCTGCGTCGCTGTGTCCGCGGTGCGTTCTGCGCTCTGAGGTCATCTCCCTCCCTCACTTCCTGTGTGTTTTCTGTTCTTCCCCACCAGAAGGTCAGAACGGCAGCTTTCCTCCCTCCTTCCTAGGACACACCTGCTCCTGGGCATTCTGGCAGCTCCGCCCCCACGGAGCAGGTGCAGGTGCCGGTGCCGGTGCCGGGGGTCCAGGGGTGGGGAGGCACTCGGTGCGGG